TCCTTTACAAGAAACTCTTCCCCTTCCTCATCCTGGTCCCAGGATGCAGTAAGTTCTGGCTCTTGAGGCAGGTCTGTAAACCAACTAATTTGTTACCAAAATTATCTGCCTCACACTGAAAGCCAGATTATTCTACCAACCCTTGCATAATATCCACACAAAAATTACAGGCATGGCCCATGAAGTGCTGTAGACACCAGCCACCTTCTTGGAGGTCAAAATGCCATTTCATGGACTGTAAAGGTAACCACAAGAACTAAACTAAGCTACCAAACTGGGCACTCAAGTCATTAGGAACTGCTCTTTCGCCCTCCACTTCCCTCAGTTCTCAGACTCAAAGGAGCCTGTTTCTTGTTTCTTCAGACAAGCCACCCACTCACAGCATATTCAACCAGAGAATTTCCATTGTGCATTCTTGGCAGCCTGGTGTTCACCACAGTGGCTGACTTGACCCACCAGTTCACCTCATCACGGCATCCACAACACAAGCCAGGTTTCAGTTCCTGGGTTATTTCTGCAACAGCAGAGAGGTGAGATGAGTCCTACCTTTGTGGGGCTGCTTTGTCCAAACCTCACACCATGTAGGCTGATTAAATGCTTCCATGCACTCCATGTGCCCAGGCAGAGCATTTGCCTGGCAATGCACATTGTGTGCTGGCTGCTGTGGATGGGACACTTATGCAAAGGGCTGGTATTTTAAACAACTAATTTTTTGGACTTGAGGCAGCATCTTTTTATCATGAGACAGACATCACATGATTTTCTGAAAAGACCTCAGAGCTTGGCTGGCAGGTTTGATGGAGAAATGGAAGCTTGCATGACTGGGAAGTCTGCACTCCTAGAGCCAGTGTTTACTGGCAGCTTTCAAGCAGAATCACGAGCACTGGATGGTGGGGCATGTATTTAAGTGCATAGCTCAGATGATAGAGCATTAAGACTAATAATATCCACATGAGGAAGGGCCAACTTTGCTAAAACTCTCAGCTATCCAGGAGTTCTCCTGGCCCTTATGCAGCCTGACATACAAACAAGATGCACTCCAGGACTCAAGAATAAAATGAGATCCTTTGGAAGCAATTCCAGACTTCTCTGGATGTGTGGTTTATCAGCATCAATCATAATGACAAAAAGCAGGTAATAATCCCCTGCAAAAAACTCCACCCAAGGCCTCCAACTACACTGTAAAATGAATGTGCTGAGGTAAAGACTCAGGGAGAAAAGCCAAGGAGTGAGCTAAAACCCTTCAGAAAAACCTTGAGGCACTGCACTGGTGAGAGCTCCCAGGGCAATTGCTTCAAACATCAAGAAGCAAAGCAGAGGATAGATGCAGGTAAGAGGAAACTGCCAAGGTGTGAGCAGATTAAGGGGGAAGAGTGCACTTCATTAAATGTAACTGCTGTTCACTTCACATTCAAACTTCCAGTATGGTGGATAGTCATGTTCACATTTGTTTTCAGATCAGACTCTAATTTATCCTCCCTTCTTCTTCTTTTTGGTTATTCATCTCATGTTGGTAAACAGACTTCCTGATTTACTAAAAGTCATTATTTCCAAGCCAGTCCCTAAACTGCCTTCAGCACCTCAGAAATGCATTACACTTTTGCAAAGTTCTCTCATTTCACCATCTTACATGTATTTGAGCTTTCTGCAATCATATAGTCTTTTTTAACCTGCACAGCATAAAATTCACAGAATTGCTGTTACAAACAGATACTGGAGATGCCAGAACCAGCTGCATGCTTTTGTTCTGGTGGCTTGAGTCTGAAGATGAGGTATTCTGAGAAAGGAATCATGCTTGTATGGGATCAGCAAATCTGGGCCGTATACCTCGGAAAAGATTAACTTCTTCCTTTGATACTGCTTCTCACTGCCATAGTAACAAGCAAATCAGGTGAAGTTCACAACAAATGAAAAAGCAGGACTGGCCTTTAGCCATGTTACTGCTCCACCTGCTTAGAGACCAGCCAAGCTGTCAGTGCTCCAGATGTACCACATAGCTGGATATTAGTATTTAGCATCACTTCATTTCTATTTCACTAAACAGGAGAATGCTTATTGCCTGATCCTGCTTATAGTGAAAAAATAGAAATGTCGGCAGAGGATGACTGGGTTATCAGAATTTAATTTCACTGAAATGACTGGACTTGAACTGTACTCAGGTTGGATAGAGAAATTGTGATGGGTAGGGAGGAAAAAGAGATTTCTTACCCTGTGATGCAGCAAATACAGATGAGGTGTTCACTGCACAGCACAGACACTTGTGGACCAGGGCATTTTTGTTCAGAAATAGATTTTAAATTGAAACCATGGCTTCACTTTTAACTGGATTTTTGACCCATTTAATGGAGGTCTTGTGCACTCCTCAGTTCCGAAATGCTCTGTGCTTGCAGATGGGGCAGAAACATGAGCCTGAGCTCCAAGTTGTTCTGACAGCAGATCGTCATCAATCCACTTTTAAAAATAAATCTCACTGTTCAGACTGAGTATCAACAACAGCCAAATGCAGTATTAACAAAATCATTGAATAGTTCCAACTC